ACACACACACACACACACACACACACACACACACACAGAGTCTTTTGCTATCATCAAAAGGACATCTGGGAAACAGAATTTGTCACATACGATTCTGATATTCCAGATAAGTCTCAACCATTCGCTCTTCTTCCTTTAACTTCACAGACAACTTTTCTGGGGAAAAAAAAAAAATTAATCGAAGTTTCAAATCTGTTCAAAAGCAACCAAAATCAGCAAAATGCAGCATGAACAAGTTTGCCTTCAGTACCTGCAAATGCTTTCATGGAGTCCCTGTAGGCATCTTTCAGTGCCACCATCTGACAGGAGGAGTCACTGACAGTGTTTATGAACTTATTCCAAAATTCATTTATGCTTTTATCAAATTGGACCAGTTCGTCCTCTATCATTTTTGTGAAACAAAGCTACAAAACAGAACATGCATTATATTTTTTTTAATAGTTAATGAAATAAAACCAACCACATATCCCAATCAATTGGGCAGTTTGACACTTCCTGGAACCACTTACATTTAAATCTAGGTATTCTAAGGTAAATGAAGCTGCCTAAGGCTTAATTGGTCAACAGGCAACAAAAATCCAGGGCATCTTTACCTCCTAGAAGGGGAATTGCTCACCAGAGCTGAACAGTTCTGGTGGCCTAACTGGAAAAGGAGTTGGACTGCCAACCCAAAGGGAGGTGGCTCAAATGCACCAGCTTCTCCAAGGTGTGATTTACAGCCTCTGAAAACCCGCAGAGGGTCAACTGTGAATGTGTTCTTACTGAGACAGCAACAAGGAGGGTTTTTTGTTTTTATAACCTGGGGGAATTGACTCTATTTACATACAATTTAAAAAGTGCGGCCAGAGTGCTCTTTGGAGGCAAAATGACCACACTCATTCTGTGGACATGTTGCTAGGAGAAACTGAGACACTGTTCCTTGAAAAGGGTCTTCGTGCTTGGAAAGATGGTCCCCAAAAGAGAGGAAGATCCCCTCGGGGCCTCCAAGAGTAGGAACCTGTTCACACACTGCTAGATGTACTCCAGTTGATGGCACCTAGCAACAACAAGCCCCCCTTTTCAAGAAGCCCTGGTGGCACAATCCAAAACATGCGAGGGTGTGAAGAGAAAGTCCTCAGTTGGAATCCACCAGCTGCTCTGTTGGAGAAGGTTGGGTAGTCTCCCCCGCCTAAACATTTTGGCATTGGAAACCAATGGTAGGTTGGTGATCAAGTCAGAGTTGAGACAACGGCAGTGGGTTATTTTTGTTTTGGTTTTTAAAGCTCTTTCAAAGAGCCCTGGTAGTCCAGTGGTTAAGGGCTTAAGTGTTAACCAAAAGATCAGGGGTTTGAACCCAGGCTGCAGAATGCCAATAGTGCGGCAGCCAGCTTCCTTAAACATAGCTGCCTGAATGCCTAGGTCTCAGATACCGCAAAGCCACGCTCACAGATCAGAAAGACTGCAGTAAAATGAGACTGAGTGGAAATCAGTGGGATTAGTCGAGCTTATTTAAGTCACCTACACTCTTTCGGCCTCGGTATTCTTTGTACAAGGACACCCTGAAAAACTCCAGGTGCCACCAGTTCTCTCGCGATGCTAAACCTTCCCGATGAATTTAAAAAAAGTCCTCCTCAAGATCGTTCAGTGAAGCTTAGATTCCCTCGCTCTCTGCTGCCCAACCTGCTAGGTCCAGACGCCCCAAAGTAACGGGCACCCCATTTCACAAGCACTGACCCCGAAAACATGCACATACGACGTCCGGAACCACATACAATGTGACAGGCGGATAAAGAAATTCAGCTCGAATCCGCACTACCCTCACCTTCCCGGGGAGGCCAGAGCCCCGTCGACTTCCCCACAACAGACCTGGGCGGCGGAGGGTCAACCAGCAAATCTTTGTACCGGAACCCGAAGCCGCCACAACTTTGCGATTTCAAATCCTAAGCACCTCCCGCTACCCGCCCCCAGGAACAAGTCAGCCTTCTGATTGGTTAATACTTTAGCCTCTCCATGAAGGGATTGGTTACTATCACCTTCCAGTGTTCTCGCGGAGAAGAAGGGGAGAAAAGCATTCTGGTATTCGTAGTTCTTTGAGTGGCACAATTCGACTTTCAGCTGTAACTGTTTATTATTTATTGCCTTGGCTTGGGTTCTGATTTGTGGAGATACAACACTTGTATCATCCACAGAATGAGGCCTTGAAACTGATCTCCAGGCCTAGTTTCCCAAATAGCTCTGTGGATTTGAATTGTCAACCTTTGAATTTCTGTTGTTTATTGCTTTGGAGTCAGAACTGACTCATAGCTAACCCTCCAGTGAATTTTCAGAAGTTGTAAATCACAGGAGAGGAGATGGCCTATCCTGCGGATTTGAACCTTGTACCTATTGAACCTATTACCAATTGTAATATATCTTCTTACCAATAGGCCACCAGAGTTCCCTATCAGTCCAGCTAGGGTCTAACCATTAGTGCCACTGCGAACTTGTCCTAGAACAACTTATTCATTGGTTGCAAAGAATATGAACGAAATGCAATGTATATGAATGATTATATTGAGACCAGTTTAAAAAAAATAGTTTGGAGGGTGTGTGTTTGTCTGTGTATATAAATAATAAACTGTAATTTAATTCCTTTGCGAAGTATAGATCTTATCTTATGCTACTTTCTTGTTGTTTGTCTTGGAGTAGGTGCCGACCCATACCTGACCCTTCAGCGGGTTTTCTGAGACAGTAAATCGTGCCGGAGGAGATTGTCCATACTTCTCCCTCCTGACCTAGAAGTTTAAATAAAAATGACTACAAATAATAAGGCTCATCAAAGGACTATTCTTTAACTTTATTTCCCTAAGTTTCCTTTCATTTACAATCCAACTAAAAACAGTCACAACAATAAAACAAAGACATGCCATGCTTATTATTTTTAAACATCATTAGAAAGTAGTCTGACTATTGTTGTTTATTGAGTTCTATTATTAACAGCTCCCAAATCGTCGACTACTCTTATTTTTGACCATGTGAATGAAAATGCAGTACCTAGCACGGAAAGTTCTGGTGACCTAATGGGCCATCCACTACAACCCAAAGACAAGTGCTTGGAATGCACCAGCTTCTCCACAGGAGGGTGAGGGAAGATGGGCAATCTCTTCCAGAGCAATTTTGAAAACCCGTTGGAGGGTCATCTTTAAATAGATTCCAGACCCATGGTTCATAAGAAAAACAAGCACTCTTGGTGCTTATCTCAGTGGAAATTCAGCGGCACAAACTTCCCCCCCCCCTTTTTTTCATTATTAATTTCAGTGAATATCTATAGAGATTTTAGAATTCCATTCATTCATTGTTGCACTTTTCTCCGCGCCCACCCCACCCCCACCCCTAAATCGCTCCTCTCCTTGAAAAACTCCTTCATTGGTACACAATCCCCTCCTCCCGCACACCTCCGCGTCCACCCCAAGTGTACTCCACTCTGCAACCCTCATTCCCGACTCTTATGATAATCATAATGCCCTAAAATATATTACTTTTAAACTAGTCTCTCCCTCATCGGCTTCAATGGAGTAAACATAATTTACCCAGTTTTTCTCAGTCTTAACCCCCACCCAGATGTCAGCCTCATTCTACAACAGTGGCACCATATAATACTTGTCCTTTTGTGACTGAGATATTTCACTCAGCATAATGTCCTCCAGGGTCACCCATATTGAATAATATTGCATGAGTTCCTTGTTTTTCAATGCAGCTTAGTATTCCATTGTGTGACTATATCACAGCTTCTCTGTCCATTCGTTTGTTGATGAGTACTTAGGTTGTTTCCAACTCCTTGCTATTGTGAACAAAGCCGCGATAAACATGGGTGTGCATATATCTGCTTGGATGTCCTTTACGGTCTCTTTAGGGTCTATTCCCAGTAGTAGAATTGCTGGGTCAAATGGTATCTCTATTTGCAACTTTTTGAGAAAGCGCTACACCGCTTTCCACCGTGGTTGCACTATTTTACACTCCCAACAACAGTGAATAAGGGTTCCAGTTTCTCCACAACCTCGCCAGCATTTGTTGCTTGCTGTTCTGTTAAATTTTACTATTCTGACTGGGGTGAGATGATATCTCATAGTTGTCTTAATTTGCATCTCTCTCAGAGCTAGGGATTTTGAACATTTCTTCATGTGCTTGTTGGTCATTTGAATGTCTTCTTTGGTGAAATGTCTGTTCATATCCTGTGTCCATTTTTCCTTTATCTTGTTGTGGTGGTCAAGTACTTTATAAATTCTAGATATAAGTCCCGCATCGGACATGTCATTACCAAACACTTTTTCCCAGTCTGAGTGACACAAACTTTTAATGACCACAATTCCTGGAATCTGCTTTCTCTGATAGATTGTGAGGGATAATTCAAGTTTTCTAGCCTGGGTGTTTAAAAGGATGATGATGCTACTGGCAAAAATAAAATTGTTCACAAACTAGGTCTTGTGAGCTCGGGGAAGAAAGTAAGTGAAGTGGCTTGCAAAGGCATGACAAGTTATAATTTTAAAATTTTGTGTTTGAGTGGATGTTATTAGGGCATCGAAGTGTTAATGTCTTATAGGTAATTTACATTTCTAATTAATTTCCATAAAGCTGACAGTCTTAACTCTGCAATACAAATGTCTGAGTTTAAAATTCAGGCTTGGCTTTTACTAGGTGTGACTTTGACAGGCTAGTTAAAATTTTTTTTTTTTACTTCAGTTTTCTTGGTCTATAAAATTAGGAAATTAAAACTAGTCCACAGGAACAAAAATATAACCTTTATTCTATCCCAGTTAAATTGAAGAATCATCTCAAGAAAAGGTTTGAGACATTTGAAGGATCAAAGACCAGAGGAACTGTGGGAAGATATCCAAGATATCATCTGTGAAGAGAGGAAGAGGTCATTACAAAGAAGAAGGAAAAAGAAGAAACCAAAGTGGATGTCAGAAGAGACTATGAAAATTGCATTAGAGTATCGATACAAAACCAAAAGAAGAGATGCTGAAGTAAATACACAAAACAGAAGATTTCAGAGGGCAACTTGAGAAGATAAAGCAAAATATTATAACGAAATATGCAAAGAGCTGGAGTAAGAGAATAAAAAATGAAGAATTCACTTGGTATTTTTCAAGTGGAAAGAACTAAGTAACTAATTCAAGCCTTGAGTTGCAATACTATGTTATGGGAGGAATCTTGAATGATGCAGAAAGTTTCAAAAGAAGATGAAGGAATATACAGAGTCACTATACAAAAAAAAAATTAGTCAACACTGAAAAATTTCAGGTAATCAGGTAGTACCATATGAACAATTTATTGTTGTGATTGTTAATGTGCCGCCGAGTCACTTGCAACTCATAGCGACTCTAGTACAACAGCTCTGAACCTTACTTTATCCTGAGTCAATCTTATC